ACGCTTTGCGCGCCGCTCTGCCGTCGGTGCGTGCACGCCGTGGTGCGCGTGCGTCGCTTCGGCGGCACGGGCATGCCCGGTGCGACGGCGGCGGCGGCGACACGCGTGCGGGGCGGGCGCGCCGCGGGCGTGTGGCACGTCCGCGCGGACGACGGAGCCGTGCGCGCGTGGGCGCAGCAGTATCGCGGGTGCGTGTGCGAGGACGGGGCGGCCGGGCTGTCGCTATGCGGGTGGAGCTGCTGGCGGTTCGCGACGCTTCTGCAGCGCGAGCTGACGTCCGGGCGGCTGGCGGCGCACACGTGTGAGTCAGCGTGATTTTTTGGCGATTGGTTGCGCGTGCATCTTGTATGCGGCTGCCCGCAGCCGTTCGTCAAGACGCCTTTAGGGTTCGCGTGTCGCATGCACGATGGCGGTGCGCCTTCGCATGCTCCCGCCTTCGCATGCTCCCGCCTTCGCATGCTCCCGCCTTCCCCCCGCTCACCGTCCAAACGGCACCGTCCCCATTTAACCTTCGCCTCTTCGCGCCTTTCGAGCCCCCCGTCCACGCACGTGCGAACTGTCATGGTGCCGCCGCACTCGCTCTTCTGCCCGCCGGTGCCGATGCCGGTGCCGGCTTCGCGCGGCTCGACCGCGCGCTCGCCGGCGCGGCGCGGGCGGGTGTTTGCGCGACGCGCGGCGAAGCGGCCGCCGGGGCCGCCGGGCGACTCTGCGGCGTTTCGCAAGGCGATGCAGCGGCCGCCGGGCACCCCGAAGCGGCAGCGGAATCCCACCCCGCTCTCGTTGCAGTCGGAGTACAGCCGGTGCATGCAGCTGGCGTCGCGCCGGGACAAGCGGCCGGCGCGCGCGGCGTTCCGCGCGGCGCTTGCCGCCGCGCCGAATGAGGCACGGCTGTGGCTTGCGTGGGCGCAGATGGAGGCGAGGTGCGGGAGGGTGGATGAGGCGCGAGAGATCTTTCGCAGCGGGCTCGTGGAGGACCCAAACAACGTCAGGCTAATTCATGCCTGGGCTGTTGAGGAGGATAGGGCGGGGAGGCCGGCTCATGCCGCAGAGCTTTTTAGACAGTGCCTGGACATTGATCCCGACGATGGCATTGTGTGGCAGAGCTACGCGTTGTGTGAGGAGCGCGCCGGGAATACCCCCGTCGCGAGGGCGGTGTTTCAGCAAGGCGTTGAGGCCGACCCGACAAACGCGTACTTATGGTCGGCCTGGGGGGTGCTGGAGCAGCGTCATGGCCGCCTGGAGCTGGCGTGCGACTTGTTTGAGAAGGCCGTTCGCTTGAACCCCCAGCATGCCAGGACGTTTCAGGCCTGGGCAATTACAAAGGAGAAAATGGGTTTACATGCCGAGAGTGAAGCCCTGTTTAGACGTGCTTTAGATGTCAGTCCGAGGAACGCCCCGACCTTGCAGGCCTATGGGTTGTTTGAAGCAAGGAGGGGGAACCTCGATCGCGCGCGAGATCTGTTCGAGACTGGCATTCAGGCGGACCCAAACCACGCCCCCATTTGGCATGCGTGGGCTGTCATGGAGCAACGCGAGAAGAATTACGATACCGCCCGTGAGCTTTTTGATAATGGCGTCAATGCCGCGCCGAATAGCACCCCGATGCTCAGGGCCTGGGCTTCAATGGAGCTAGAGCTCGGCCATATTGATAAGAGCAGGGATTGGATGGTGCCACCGAGTTCGCGAAACAAGTGGAAGCGTGGCACGAAGCAAAGGGCTTATGCCCCGGGAAAGCGTGATAGGGATAAGTCGAATGACAAGCAGATTAGCGCTGTGGGGAAGAACCTCCAGATGTTGCGGCTCATGATTGAGAGGCGATCGGATGAGGATGTAAGGTCGGTTATGCAATGGCTTTCCGGGCGTGCTCGTGCGGATAGGAGGCTAGCCGATGCCATCTCGGCGCGACGTGAGAATGATTCGAGAAGGGTCACTGAGTGGATTGAGCGTCGGTCTACGAGCGATATCAAGGCCTTCAAGGAATGGCTCGATGATCGCTATGAAAAGGACTCGCGAATCGGCGTCTACATCTTCAACTGGGACATCCCACTGTCAAAATCCATGTCATCTACGCCGGTCCCTGTCCGTGTCTCTGAGCGCCGAGGGAATCCGGTGGAGAAGCCAGCAGAGTGGTTGCGGCTGTCGGAAGAGCCGAGGATGGGGCTGCAGGCCTTTGACGACCAGTTGTTCCATCGAGAAAATCCAACAGACTATGGCGAGGGAATCTATTTTATGGGGCAGATTGCGGAAAACCTTGCTGACCGAGCCGCGCTAGTTCTCGTCTTGAGCGCGATGACGTTTGGACTGATTGGCGTGTCCGGTTATTTGTTCGATCTGGGATACTCGCCATCCGGACAATCGACACAAACAGCTAGAAACATTGAGGGAGCAATGTCAAAGCCGTCCGGTGTGGACGCGATCTTGTACGAGGAAGGGGGCGCGGAGTCAGTGATACAGTCTAAATTGGGCTGTAAGAGACCATAGGTCGTGGCGAAATTGGCAGCGGCGTGCGGTTGGAAGCTTGAATGCCGTTGAGGCAGTGATACAGCCACTCATGCCGTGTCCGCGTTATGGACAAGTGGGGGTTAGTATCTGCGTAGATAACATGTAGCCATAAAGTTGATGGGTGTATATTCAAAGACGCGCTCAGGGTGGCGGGCGCGATTGCGATTGAACTGTCAGGTCGTGTCCGGTGGTCGCTGATTGTTTCTAGCGACTACACGCTGAAGAGTGCAGCGATACCAAGCCTTCAGACGAGTTACCGGAACCCCAACGTGATAAGCGCCAATGATCAATTGGTTCATCAAAGTAGTGCGGAAGACGCCGAGCGTCTCCCACCGTCTCCCCGAAGTGGTGACCGCCACCGGTGAAATGACGATGCGGCCCTTTTTCGCAATCTTCTGCACCATCACGTAATCATCCAAGAAGGGCAAAAGGGGATACCCACCGACACCGCGAAAGTCGTGTTTTGCCATGAACAAGCCCTGGTCTCCATACGGTCTCTGGAGCCATCTCGCCCTCAAGTTGGCGACCTTCTCGACGACGCGAATGCCAAACAAGTCAGAGTCAATGCACAACGAAAAGGCGCCTGCCAGGGCTCTCTCTTGTGCGAGCGCCTGGATGATGTGTGCGTCGTACGCGTGCGGCACGGTTGTATCGGCGTGCAGAAAGAGGAGTGTGTCCGCTGCGGCGCGGGCCGCACCGGCGTTGAGCTGGGCCGCGCGGCCGCCGGGCACAGACAGAACGGTGGCGCCCGCGCCGCGCGCCAAGCTGCGCGTGTTGTCCGCGGAATGGCCGTCCGCCACAATGATCTGGCAGTGAGAGCGTGAGCGCGCACGCAGTGCCGCGATCGTTGAGACGATCGTCGCAGATTCGTTGTACGTCGGGATTATGACAGACGTTTGTGCCGGAGCGCGAAGGCGCATGACGCGGGAGGAGGGAGGCGAGGCGAAGCACGACCCGTCGCGCAGATTGTGAGTTGGGGCGCTGACGGCCGGGCGATCTGGAGATGGTGGTGGAGAAAGAGGTGACGTTGCTGGCGCGAGTGTTGACTGGGACATGGTTTTTTATATTCGCTAAAAAGGATATGAGACGTACAGTATGTCGTCAATACTACCTGGGTCGCCCCATGGCCGCGTCATAAGAGAGTTTACTTGCAATTGCTCCTTCCCGTTCACGTTGGTAGCCAGCGGTTAACTGCGTCTTGCTTCCGCATTCCTCGTCCCCGATCACTTCCGCAATGCTTCTCCGCCCCTTTGCCGGTCGTCTAGCGCGAGCGATTGCGGCCGCGCCCGTTCGCGCCACTCGCGCCTTGTCGACGTCGACGTCAAAGGTGGGCGGGTACGACGTGGTGGACCATGAAACGGACGTACTGGTTGTAGGCGCGGGCGGAGCCGGCCTGCGTGCGACGATCGGCGCCTGCGAGGCCGGCCTTCGCACCGCCAATGTGACCAAGCTCTTCCCGACCCGCTCGCACACGGTCGCCGCGCAGGGCGGCATCAACGGCGCCTTGGGGAACATGACCCCGGACGATTGGCGCTGGCATATGTACGATACCGTCAAGGGTTCAGACTGGCTGGGCGATCAGGATGCCATTCATTATATGTGTCGGGAGGCCCCGGCCACCATTATCGAGCTCGAGAACTACGGCGTCCCGTTTAGTCGCACCGAGGATGGCCGCATTTATCAGAGGGCTTTTGGAGGCCAGTCACTGGACTTTGGAAAGGGGGGACAGGCCTATCGTTGCGCCGCCGCCGCGGATCGCACAGGTCATGCTATGTTGCATACACTGTATGGACAGGCGCTCAAGCATGATGCCGAGTTTTTCGTCGAGTACTTTGCCTTGGATTTAATCATGGACCCCGTGGATGGCAGCTGCAGGGGTGTAACGGCGCTATGTATGGAGGACGGGTCTTTACATCGCTTCAATGCCCATGCTACCATCATTGCCACCGGGGGATACGGGCGCGCGTATTTCAGCGCAACATCTGCACATACATGCACGGGCGATGGCAATGCCATGGTTGCGCGAGCAGGCATTCCATTGCAGGATCTTGAATTTGTGCAGTTTCATCCGACGGGAATATACGGGGCTGGATGTCTGATTACAGAGGGGTCTCGTGGGGAGGGAGGATTTTTGAAAAACTCGGAGGGCGAACGTTTCATGGAGCGGTATGCGCCCTCAGCGAAAGATCTCGCTTCTCGGGACGTGGTGTCGCGCTCGATGACTATGGAGATTCGTGAAGGGCGTGGAGTGGGGCCGAAGAAGGACCACATTCATCTGCATCTCGACCATTTGGAGCCGTCGGTGCTCGCCGAGCGATTGCCCGGTATATCTGAAACGGCCAAGATCTTTGCTGGTGTGGACGTGACCAAGGAACCGATCCCCGTATTGCCCACAGTGCATTACAACATGGGAGGGATTCCGACAAACTGGCGTGGGGAGGTTGTGACGGTCAAGGATGGAGATCCAAACTACGTGGTTCCAGGGCTTTTCGCAGCCGGTGAGGCGGCATGCGCCAGCGTGCATGGTGCGAATCGGCTCGGTGCAAATTCCTTGCTCGACATTGTGGTATTTGGGCGGGCAACGGCGATGAGATGCGGAGAAATCATCAAACCGGACACGCCAGTGCGGCCTTTACCCAAGGGTGCTGGGGAGGAGGCGATCGCGGACATGGACAAGGTGCGGTATGCGGACGGAGAGATTCGGACGTCTGCGATTCGCGAGGACATGCAAAAGATCATGCAAGACAACGCGGCGGTGTTCCGGACGCAAGAGTCGCTGTCGCAAGGGTGCAAGCTAATCGATGAGTGCTACGAGAGCTTTGGCAAGGTGAAAATCACGGACCGGGACATGATCTGGAACACAGACATGGTAGAGACGCTGGAGCTGCGAAACCTCCTGCAGAACGCGGTGATCACGATGCACGGGGCCGAGGCGCGCAAGGAGTCACGCGGGGCGCATGCCCGCGAGGACTTTACAGAGAGAGATGACGAGGTATGGATGAAGCATACGCTGGGTTGGGTGTCGAGCCACGAAGAAAAGAAGAACTCGCGAGGGTTTGCGCACATCGATTACCGGCCGGTGGTTTCGAAGAGCTTGGATGATTCGGAGCAGGAAGCGTTCCCGCCGGCGAAGCGGGTGTATTAGTTTACCGGTAGCCACGAGAGTGGGGGGAGCGGCACGGTGCGCACGATACGTGACGGGGTTGTTATGATTGCGATTAGTGATGTTGACAGGCGATGGAATTGCTTAGCAGAGGCGTGTACGAAGTTAAAAGACGGGGCCGGCGGCCCCAAAGTTTTGATGTCGAGACGGATGGGGGAGAGTTAGTTGTGTTTTCAGCCATGAAGAGTGATGGTGACGTGGCGCGGTGAAGTATGGGCTGCCTCGTCACGACCTTGGCCCAGGTGAGGTTGTGGCACTACGAGTCTGACGACCTTGGTGTCCACGTCGTCCACGTCGTGCTCGCATTCGCCAGGGTCATGTTGGTCGAGCTTGCGATACCGCATCTTGCACCGGCGCGCGTCCTCCACGGCCTGCTCCGCGCCCACGAGGGCGACGTTGAGCGGCGCCAGCGCGGCGACGAGCAGCATGCGCTGGGCGGGCGCGGAAGCGCGGGCCACGAGGACGAGCCAGAGCGCGGCGGCCGGCGGCCAGGGCGGCCGCG